AGGTTAATGCAAAGTAAGTATCATTTGATGATAAAACAGACTAAGAATTTATTACACCTTATGCCATTAACAACATATTTATATGCATTACATACAATATTGGTCACAAATAATTCTTTTATAAAAGTTAATTTTCTTTTGAACCAGACATAGTTTTCATTATTTATTACCTAAATCTACAGCTTTGAAATGCTATAACAAAAAATATGTAGCAGTTCAAAAAATTGTTCACACCTACAAAACTTTATTTTATTCTACATATATATATATATATATATATATATATATATATTACATATTTTCAAACCAAACTTAATTTTTCCTTGTCTGAGATTTAATTAAATTTGAATATCAGTAGAGCATACAATGTGAAAATATTTCTAATAAAGACAGTTTTTAGTGTATAGATATTTATTTAAATATGTGAAATAGACCTTTTTTTACATTTAAGGAAGATATTTATTTGCACAAACAGATCAAAGAGAAACTTTAAAACATATTTTATAGATTTAGTTAAGCAGGAGTATTAAGATAAAAAATGTTACCTTTCATTTGATATTAAATTTAGATATTTCACAGTGATATGCACATAAATATCAAATTAGCAGAATGTAGATAAATTTACATTATTTTTAAAGTTATGTAACTAAATTCAGTGAATTTGTATAAACCTTTAGTGAAAACCCTTAAATGATATTCAAATTTTTAGATGATATCAAATCTCCCAAAAATTCTGTTTTTATAAAATATCTTTTATACAAAATAAATATTCAAATGAAGAATGTTATTCATTTAAAATGAACCCAAATTATTTTGATTTCAAGAAAAATTTGCTATGGAAGTTTTTCATCAAGTACATTTTTAAAATATTCAGTTGACTTAAAATACTTCAAAATGTGAAAAATAGAGATGTTAAAAAAGCAAGATCAATTTAAAAACAGTACTAATAACCTGAAAAATAATGTTTACCAGATGTAAAACAGGTTTAATATGCCTCTTTATTTTATAAAATAAAATAATTAACTAGAAAGATACCATGTGGAAATGCCGAAGGGGAATGGAAATGGTATTCAATTAAATTTTGCTGCTTTATTGAAGTCTGAAGAAAGAAAGACAATTTATATTTGATAGTTTGTAACCAGTGTCATATATCAATTCACAGGGTAGTATTATAAATGGACAGACAGAACAAAATACAAATGTTCTTCAAAGTGCAATAACAAAGTTGGAGCAGTGGTTTATGAGAGATCATGTATTAGCGAGCAGATAACGAACTAATTTTCATTCAAGACAGTTCTGTTACAGAAACTATATAGAAAATCATACAGCATCCTTCAAACTAAACAAAAGAATAATTTCAAATAAAATACTTGGAAAGAAGACAAACAATGGCATAGTCATTCAAACAACAGATCTGACAAATGCGCAATGACAAAATGTATCATTGATGTTAGCCAAGAATAGAAGACATGTACAGCTCATTTTGGCAAGAATTGAAGTTCTCTTAAGGACCTAAAATAGTTATGCCCCAAGAGGTCCCTCATAATTATCATCTAATATTTGGTGTTGATCTTTTATCTTGTATGCACATACATACTTCCATTACACTATTTGTCTTAAAGATATTATTTACATTAAGCATCTGCAAGTTTAACATAATCTAAAATATCAACAATTTCTTGTGTATCTTCAATTTCTGAATATAATGCCAATGAATGTCCATTTCTTTTTATTTGGTAAAAGGCACACTGTCCTTCAGAGCTATTTTTTGTCAAATTTTATGTCACAATTAAAACAATAAGTATTCATGTAGTGACAAAGAACTATCAGATCTTATTGACATTTGGCTGTTTAACACAAACACTCGGTAACACAAACAATCACAATGACAACAACAAAATTTATCCTAAATTCATCCAGAAAAAAATACGAAGAAGAATTACAGATAATAGATTACTGTGTTAAACATACAAATCAATACACTGAATGGGAAACAATATAAAATATTCATTTCTGACACATATATGTGTGTGTGTGTGTGAGAAATGTACCCATGAATACATAAAAGTATCCAAAAGTGCCATATGTCAAAAAAAAATTTTTTTTTCAGTAGAAACAGTGTAATTAACCCTCAAAAGTTTGAACTTTCTTATTAAACTTGTTTTACATATCCTTTTAGAAAGGGTATAAAAAATTATCCTAATTTTTTCTTTGCTCTGGAATAAGTGTAAAAATCCCATTGATATGAATTCGTTACCCAGTTCATAAAGTTCCTTATGTTTAAGGGTTAACTCATACTGAATGTATTAATTTATGGGTACATTAATGATCAAGTCTCAATCAACCACATAGTATTGTATCTTTGCACTCATATATATATATATATATATATATATATATATATATATATATATATATATACACATTCAAAATCATGTAGAAGTCAACATGAAACCCCTCTATTAGCTTTCCCATGAAGGCATGGTAATTCACAGATAATAAAAAAAAGGACTCTATTGTGAGCCATGATCATCTAAGTCCTGAAAGATATGGCATCTTTTCAAAAAAATCCTGTTTGTGCAAAAATACCAACTATACCAAGAGTGATTTTCTGTTGATTTCTTCAAGGTTTTGAATTTTTTCCTCCTAGACTGGCTTCCATCCAAAGCTAGATAGCCCAGTCTACCCTGCTATATATATATATATATATATATATATATATATATATATATATATATATATATATATATATATGTAAACATATATACTGACAAACAAACCAGCAATTAATGGTCATAAAAGTATAATGTAAATGTCCAAGAGAGAAAGAGAAATAGCAACAAGATGCAGAAGAGATAATTGATAATACATCACTTTTTTTATCAAGTAAACATGATTTTATCTATACAACACATAATAAAAAAATCAATATTTAACCAATTACTTTTATACAATGAGGATATTGGATTTTTCTTCATTAATCAAATCTGAAAATAGCTAGTAATACAGTAATAATCTTTCTGCAGACAAAACAATGACATTGACTTTCAAATTTCAAAAATCATACTGCATTTCCATTCATCTTTTTTGCATAAATCTCTACCTTCGCAAATATGCATTAAGTACAATTTTTAATACTGCATCAGCTTAATCCTTTTTTCTAAGAATGAAAAAAAAAAACAACTAAAAAGAACAGACCACAAAAATTTAAGAACAAAAATAACCCAAAAGTATTTTTCTTTTCTTGAGAAAAGGTTATCTATTTGAGCTTAATTTCTTGAAAAATGCATAAAGTAAGCCACAAAAATATCCCATCAACATATACATCGACATGTACACTTCGATGTGAAAGAGAAAGAAGAAATGTGCAAAAGAAAAAAAATCTAATTTACAATATTATTTGATTTAAAAAATATTCAGCCTAAAAAAAATTATTAAGAAATAGAAGACAAGCAAAGATAGTGCAAAAATGCACAAAATGAAAAGCTAGGAAGAAAATGTTGAATTTTATCAAAAGATTTTACTTTAGGATTTTTCAGCTGAAAGACCTATGTCAAGTATTGAAAAAAAAAAAACAATTTGAAAAAATTTATCAAATTTGTAAAATATAACATATCTACGAAATAAAGATTAATGTAAATCTGTAAACATTCAAAATTGTATCCTCTTTTAAATTATCTTACAAAAAATACTTTAAGTAGACATAGACAAATTTCATTTATTCTCAAGGAAAAATTTAGAATAACTTATAGTAATAAACAAGGATGCATCCTCAATTTTAAGTTACACATTATGTTTGTAATTTAAATGAAATTAAATTCAGAGAATTATCTAAATGATAAAAGATTAAAGATAGTAAAGTAATAATTCTGTATCCAGTTTGTATTTTTGACTCCAAGAAAGAAAAGTACTATTGGCCTGAATTAGTTATTAACCAAAATATATCTTTGATTGAAGTGTATGTACATGATTAGAGATGAAAACAAGTGTGAGAAAAGAGAGAAGAAACAAGAAAAAAAATACTTTACTCTCCTCAATCAGAAACAACAGGGTCAGAGAGAGGCAGAAATTGTAATCAGAGATTCAAGTGAACAACTTTAATAAGGAAATATTAGTGACTATTACAGAATAAAAACAAGAATTCAAAGTTCTAAATTTCAGCATTTACACATGTTGCTAGGAAATGTTCTGAAAAAGCAGCAGTTTGTCACACATTTAATAATAAATAGTTGCAATTCAAAGATTGGACCATCAAAGGTGCAAAGATCTTTCTTTCACAATAGATTTCTGTGCATTTAAACAATTTTTGAAAACCTTGCTGTGGTGGAAGTTCATAAAAATATTACAAAAATATTAATTTTAATTCAGATTTACAATTTATATACACACTTGAATTAAATTAAACATTTTTGTAAAGATACATAAAAATAAAATACATTCAAAAATGTAATAATAATGGAAAAACACAATATCTGTAAAGAGATTTACAATAAGTGAATTTGACACAATATCAGCAGCTATATAACTTCAATCTTACTTTTTATAATGGAACTTTTTTAAAGAGAGCATGTGACCATCTAATATTCAAATAACAATAAAGTAATTTATAAATAACAAAAATACAATTTGAAGCAAACAATTTTTCAAAATGGCTAGTAATAGAAGATATAAAAAAATATCTTCATAAAAATAAGTAATTTATATATTTGTTACCCAAAATAGTTTTGATTCTATATAATCATTAAGGTTTAAAGAATTAGCTTTTGTAAATTATTTGGTAACCATTTTAATAATCATTTATCCAAATCAAATATATACTCTCATAATAGTAATCCTATTTCATTTATTAAACACTACATTATTTATAAGCTTTCAAGATTAAAAAAAATACATAGAAGGAAACAAACATCACCACAGCAGGGATTCAACAGAAAAGAATGTTATTGTAGAAATTGGGACTTGATACATATGAATAAAAACAATGCTGTATAACAACTTACCTCTCTTGATTCTCTGGTAACAACAACATGATGCCACTTGTTATCATCAAACCTTTGATCTGGGATATTAATATTTGCATCATATTTTCCAGATCCAAGGTTGACTGACAAATCCACAGTGCCATCTATCAAAGCAACATTGAAGTATTCGCCACGATCACCTGTAAAATAACTCATAATGTACAATGTTATTTTATGATGTTGACCCTGCAAAATAACTTCAAACATTTCAACATATATACTCAAGAATCATAAACTCATTTATTTGCAAAACTATAATAGATCATCAAAGAAAAAGATCAAATTATAAGTTTAATTAGTATTCGTGTCTTCATAATTTATAACTTTAATTCATATTAAACTCATTTCTGCAAGTCAACACTGATTTTAATATTTCACAATAAGTGCAATATTTTCATATAGCTTAAATTGTTTACTTTTTAAGACCAGCTCAATGAACACTTTTGTAAAATGACAATTTATCTAAATCACTCTTTTTTATCACTATTGAGGGATGATATATTGTTTGATATTGAACAGTCATGAAAATTTGAATATAAAATGTTTTTCATGAAAAATCCATGCTAGGGCAAATTTTACTTGACAATAAAAACTGAAATACTAAGTGCCAGTTAAATACTAAAGCCTTTTAGTACCAGTTAAATATATGTTTTTATTCATAAAAATATCATTTCTGAATGAAGAAATGACAACACTAAAAGTTAACAAAGTGTTGCATAAATTGTCAAGGAGAGGAATAACAGTGCTGGGAACTTAGTGTTTGTGAAAACAAGTGCTGAAGAAAATAGTTTCTGACCTAAGAGTAAGTTAATTGGAGAAGAAAAGAAAATACCTGAGTCAAAGATAGTCTAAAAATAAACTAAAAGAAAGATTTTAATTTATCAGTATATCAAAGATTTATTAATTGAAAAAAAAATTAATGTGAAACTGAATGTACATTGATAATTATAAAAAGAGTTATATAGTAACGAATACAGTACCTCCAAAATTGTTACAATGTGACCCGCCTTACTCTATATTATCAATAACTATTAAAGAGTCTTAACAAGTACATTAAAGATGTTGAAAACAGTTTTATTGGGTTCTGTGTCAAAACTGAAGGTGGACAAAGCTGATGATAATTGGAAATAGGAGTAATAACAGATAAATGTAAAGTAGAAAGTATATGTAAAAATGTTTCAAAGTCACTTTGACAGCAAAACAAACTTAACAGTTCAATTGGATAGCAAAAATATTAAAATTTTACTAGATTAAAAGCCACCCTATTGGGTGGCATTTAAACTAGCTTCTGTGGACAGCTTTTGATTGGGCCTTCATCACAATAGTTAGGGAGGAGTAGATGCGATATGCAACAATAAACTACAGAAGAATTCAAAATTGATCACTGCATTTAAGTATTGTATTAATATTTAAGCTTACCTTTTAAAAGTTTAACAAAAATTCTTCTTAATTTAAAAACAATTTGATGCATGTATTTCCTTACTTTCTTTACAAACAATTATTTTTATTTCATGGGTGACTTTTGCTGGACTTCACAATTAATTTTGATTATTTCCAAATTTATTACCAAGTTACCAAAATTTGTCGTAAAAAAACACATAAAAAATGCCGAAAACAATTACAGTAATGAAAATTTGGGAATCAAAATTTCAGGACTGCAGATCCAGATCCAGCCTGGAATGTTTTTAATTTGCTCACAGAGTTGGACTGATTCCAAAATATTGGGTATGATATATTGGGTTACGGCCTCTAAGAATAAAGTTGAAAACAGGGACAATTTTATTTTAAAACACTGTAATTTGAGAACAGTAATTTTTTTAATTTGAACATGAGCTCTTGAAAGTTAGAGAGTTGTGTCCCTTTAATTGTTTTTATTAGTATAAGCTAAGATGGCGGAATCCGAAAACAATCGCAGTAATGAAAACTTGGGAATCCAAAATTTCAGGATTGCTGGTTCTAATCCACCCTAGAATTTTTTTAATTTGTTCATGGAATTGGCCTGATTCCAAAATGGTATGATATATTGGGGTACTGCCTCTAGGAGTAAAGTTGAAAAAGTATGAGTCAGTGACACACTGATATTTGCATTAATTATATAGATGATTATTTATTGCTAAATATTCCTCATAAACAATTTCTGAACTAATTACAAGAAAAGAACTTTAGTATAATATATTTTTCAGTAGAAATCTATGATGAAGGTTTTTGACATTTATTGAAGTCCAAACATAAATATATTTATTTCATTAGTATACTTAATACAATTACTTATTTCTATTCTTTTGTCCCTTTCCTCCCCGACTTGAGATTTTCTTGTCAATGCTTGTTTTCTTAGTTGACAGAAAATATTTCATTGGTGTGATATATATATACAATATAATATACTGAATTTGGTATGTGAAACTTGGCTTTTATTTGTCAGTGGTGCAAGGATGCGAATGAATAGATTCTGTTAAGTAGATAAATATTTACTCATCAGTGTATGTTCATGGGTTTACAGTAATTGTTTTTAGTTCTGTTGATTCATATATTCTTTTGGTTACATTAAAAACAGTATTTACGCCCACTTTTTGCATTGTTAATTCAATTTGTTTAGTCCTACATCAATATGCCCCAACATGTGTAGCAATGTGCCTCACGAGTGGAGCAGGTTGATGCATTTGACATGCTGTCATAAAGGTTTAATATTATGAAAATTATGTATTCTATGAATTTCAAAGTACATTCAACAAATTGCCAGCATACTGGAGTCTGTGTTTGACAAGTTTCAGCTTAATTCAATCAGCGGGGTTGTTGTTTGGTGTCAATTCAGAAAAAATTGTTACAATGTGAACCACCTTACCATATATATATATATATATATATATATATATATATATCTTACTTATTATAAAACGCAGATTGTGTGTGTGTGTGTCTGTAACGTTTATGTTGGATCGAATTTCCGACATTTTTTAGCCGATTTCAACAAAACTTCACAGGACTACATAAAATTACCTTGTGGTGGTTCTAACGGGGCCGAAAATGGGAAAAAATACAGTTGTTTTTAATAAAATCAATTTGAAAACATGATTAAGACACATCGTGAGAATGAAAGGGGACAACTCACCCACGAAAATGTAAACAAAATAGCATAGCATGATGAAAAAGACGCCAACTTGATGAAAACAAAAATTTTATCGTCTAATGTTCATATTATTATTAAAGAGGAAAGATCAAAGTATTTGGGGGTATTTTTTACATTTTTAATCGTTCCTAGCACATCTGAAATTTTCGTTAAAAATATTGTTTTTTTTTGGTCAAAAAAAAAAAAGGACAGATAATCAATCATTTTCAATCATTTTTTTCGATTTGATAAAAAGATTAAAATCTTACTTTGATTTTTTTTTTAAAATTAATTATCATTTTTTCAAAACTGATTTTAATAAAAACAGAAATTATACTGTTTATTTAAAATATTTTGAACCAAGCTTAACTTAGCTTCTGCGCCAAAAAAATGTAATTTGAAAATAAAACAAAGCAGGTCATAACCTTTTCACGTCGCTTGACGATTGACGAAAAGGCACATTCATGACGTTTAGATAACTTACGGGAGGATAATTCTTTCTACGGATGGAAGGAAGTGAAATTATTTAAGTGAACAAATTATTTACCTTGTTACTTTTAAGGAAAACTTTCAGCGCTCTAATTTTTTTTTTTTTTTTTTGTACTTAGCTTTCATTTTTACGTTTACGATGCTTTATGGAAAATATAAAGAAATTAAAAAATAAGAGTGTTAATAGTGAGATTAAATTTCATAAGAAAAAAGGTATCTAATTAATTTAGGTACCTTTCTTATGAAATTTTATCAGAAGTGTACATAAAATACTATAATTTTATGTACATTTATTACATTTTACTGTGTTATTTGTATTTCCATTCATTTTATTATTAATTTTGATATTTCATTTATGGAAAAATGTCATAACTGAGATTAATATAAAAATAAGATCATATAAATTAAAGTTTAGCAGTAGTTAAATTTCATAAGATGATACTGTTACTTGTAGGTACCCTTCTCAGTTGAAATTGAAATTAACTTTTCCATACGTGTTTCGCAAAAGTAAAGGGTTTAACAGCGGAGAACAATGCTGAACTCAAATAATGCAACTAAATTGTATTCTGGTTGGTCTTCCGTACTTGATAATTACTATCCGACTATAAACACAAAACTTTACATTTCTTAATTACCATGGCTAATCTGATTGGTCCAAATTATACAATTTTCAAAGCGCTAGACAATCTCACATGGACATTTTGAAAGGTTGATGTTGCTTTTTTTTTTCACTAATGTTAAAATATTTTTTAAAAATTCAATTTAAAACATTTTTTAAAAATCTTTTACAATTAAAGAAATAAGAAATAATTGTATTAAAAATTCAATTTTCATTGAAAAATTTTTTGCTTTCAGAAAATATTGTCCATATTCATAAAAAACAAATTAAAACAAATAAAAGCATTTGAAACTAAATAATATATTTGTTTTATTGAGTTTTGTATGTTACAATTCACACCTGATTTTCAGGTACGTTGGCCAAAAAAAAAAAAAACAAAAAAAAAAAAACATGATTTACATTCTTCAAAGCCTTGTGCTTTTTTAACTATTGTAATCACTAAAACCGATGGTCTCGAATTTCTTGAGTTTTTCATAAAATTAGTTATGGGGGGTGTTAATAAATATAAAAAAATATATTTCTGCCATGACTTTAATAAAAAAAAAAAACATATTTATAATAATTTCGATCATCTGTGAATATTTTTTGAAAGTTTCATTAACATCTAACAATTATTTTTTATTTTTGCAAGATTTTCCAAATTAATGTGTGTAAATACAAAAAGAAAAGCGCTAAAATTATCTATGTTATTTACTACCCCTTGTTGTGACAAAGAGAAACAAGGTTTTTTAAATCAAAATTTAGAATATTCTAAAAAGATGGAAAAATTTTAAAAAATAATTAAAAAAAAATTTAGTCTATCCTCTTCATAAAAACATAAGCATTTTGACGATAAAATTTTGTTTTCATAAACTTTGGTGTCTTTTTCATCAGACTATGATCTATGTTTTAGCGATTCCGTGGAGTGACTTAGGTTAAAAAACCCA